GTGTGTGTGTATGTGTTGCACATTAGGGCAGGACCATGACAAAAACTACTTTTTAGTTGCAATGCAGAATACTTAAATGTTTAACTTTATGTAAAACCATGTAAATGCACTTTAATAACAATTAAGCTATAAAAGCACAAGGCAACATGACAAGTGTCATTGCCAAGGGTTTCACTGATGTCAGGAAGCCAGTATGTGCCTCTATGTGAGGCTGGACTGCACAGGTCTTTTCATCTGTGTGTGCTGGGGCACCATGATGGTTGGTTGAAATCATAGTGGAAATACTAATAACAATGTGGAGTCAAACAGGCCCGGGGCATATGGGAGCTTATTGTTAAGTGTTTAACAATGTGCCCCTGGCTATCATCCTTATATATAAAAGAGCTTATCATATTGAACATAATTAAAAAGTGCTAAAACCCCTAAAAGATATATTAGCAAATGGCAGAGGAAATACAAATCATCATAGGCAGATTAACAAGTGGATTTAACACCTTCAAGAAAACAAAACCCAGCACTTCATTTCTGTACATTAGCAAGGATTGAAATAATAAATCTCGGTGTTGGCATAGGCTCAGTGTAAAACATGTCACATAACGCTAATGGAGTGTAAATTAGTGCAGTGCTTGTGAAGCCAATTTAGCAACATATATCAGGAGGTTTTACAGTGTCTACACCCTACTAATTCCATTTCCAAGAATATATATTGTGAGAGTAACTCTATACACAAGGATATTTCAATATTAAGAAAACAATTAAGCAAATCATGATCTATACACTGATGTAAAGAGATTTTTGTGATGTGAGTTTATTTTATGCTAATGATTGTGTTGAATTGATAGTCTGTCTCCTAAGTAGAACGCTTGGAAAGACTAGAGGGAATTTCTCTGGATGAAAGAGCTATTTGCTGGTAGGATTGTGAGAATATTTTCCCAGGTTTGAAATTTTCTTCCTGTTCTTTCAAATGAATTATGATGAAGAAATATTGCTTTTAGTAACTAGGGAAAATTCCCTAAAATAAAGCATAAAAATTTCCTTTACTGAGTTAAAAGTAATTTAATTTTGAAACTTACAGTGAATTTCTGGTTAAAAACCTTTTGTTTGTCTAGGTTTGGTGGTACATGCCTGTAACCCCAGTATTTGGAATGCAAAGGCCAAGAGTCACAGGTTCAAGACAAGCATGTCTCAAAAAAAAATTTGACTTTTGAAAGGGACAAGCTCCCCGCTCTGCTGCTGCAATTGTGGTGAGATACACCTCTGCCAACTCTTTCAAGGACTTGAGTAAAGTATTATTTCATGTTTCAATATCTCTTTAGGGACAAAATGCAAATGGACTAGCTGGGCCGATGAGTCTAGTTTCCTTTAAAATATTGGAGTAGCATCCACTTTCCACATAATGTTCTTTAACTGTTTTTTTTTTTAAACAAATGCTAGCCTAGTGGTTTCTGCTTTGAAATATTTAATTAGATTACCTTAAAACTTTGAATGCATTTTTGTGGTCCTGGGGATCAGGGTTAGGACCTGCACATGCTAGGCACATGTTCTACCACTGAGCTACGCCTTCAGCTTTTGATTTTGCAAGGCAAAGTCTCACAATGTAGCACAGGCTATCCTGGAGCATGTGATTCCCCTGTATCTTGCCTCCGGCTGCTGAGGTTACAGGCATGTGTCATCATGCCCGGGAATGGAAACAGTGTTCACACATTCAGTTTTATGACTTCATGGAGAGTTTTACATTTTCTCCACCCTCTCGGTTGCACTGTGAAGTCCACTAGACCTACACGCAAAAATCAAACTTACACGCGCTCATGAGCCACTGTACTGAGTTAACCCCACGGGTGCTGTCTGGTTTTCTTTCTATTTTAAAAAAAATCTGTCCCAAAATTTTACTGGTACTTGATGAGGAGACGTACAGAGTAGGACATTGTTGTCAGTTTTCATGACTTCACATGTTCTGAATTTTTGCCTGAAGTATACTCTCCGGATTCCTTGCCCAAAAGCTATCTGTGTAGCCTCATGATATGGGAACACCCTCAGAACTCTGAACAAAAGGCCTGTAATTGAAATGTGTTTTATTTAATGTAGGGATTTTGTTTGATAAGAAACTTTATATTTCTTTTAACATATTAAAAATCATTTTTAGACAAAGCTTTTCAGATAATTCCTGTCTCAAAAACAAAACAAAATGCATTTTTTTTTGGCCTAGTGTGTGACTTAGCAGTGAACTAAACTAAATCTAAGCCACATGGAAGGAAAACAGACATATAGTCTCACACTCAGTTATAAGAGCTATGGATAAAAATAAAGTTTAAGGGAGGCTGAAAGTATTGAGATGGGGAGGGGATGATTCTTGTGTGAGGGAAGTGCTATCGAACAGGATAGCATTTGCTCAGGAACTTCAAGAAAATACAGCGCATTCATAGGGCTGGCTCCAGGAAGATAGTCTGACTACAGTGACTAGCAATGTCTCGTGGGGAGGCTGGCACAGCCAGAGAGAAGAGAAGACTGGGCGGCGGGCCATTGTTGGGTTCATTTTGTTGACACATACACAAAGCTCTACTTCAACTTATGTCAGCCTTACAGACCTAATAAAGCCTATGAGCATACCAAACCATTTTCGTTACTGTCTCAAAAGAGTTGTACAGTATTTTCTAAGGAAAGTTTTGTTTTCATTACTTTTGATCATAAGGAACTGTCCAAAGTATAACTCTTTCTCTGGAGCAGCAGCAGCACATTTCTAACTGAACAATGATTTTGATGATCAGTATTCTTTGTTGGGTGGTGATGGCAAAACATGGAAACAGATGTACCTCAATGTTTTGGTTGAGTTTCTTGACGATGCTGGTGATGGTCTGTATGTGACTTTCTAGTAACTTCCTGGCAAGAGATTCTTCTTTTCGAAAGCCCTGGCTTCCCTGGAGGCAAGCTGTGATGTCTTCCTTGATGCGGAAGGCCTGCTCAAGGAGGAAGGCTATGGTGCGCTCCTGGTTATTCAGCCTGTCTTCTAGCTGACTTGTCTGGTTGCTTGGCATGGCAGGAAGAAAGGGGCAAGCCCTGGTCAGAAGAAGGACACACCATAGTGTTATAAGAGTGAGCACGTGTCTGTCTCAGCCACTGTTCAATTGCTAGAAAGACACCATGGCCAAGACAACTCTAACAAAAGAAAGCATTTAATTGGTGTCTTGCTCACAGTGTCAGAGGTTTAGTTCGTTATCATCGTGGTGGGGAGAGTGGCAGCCTTCAGGTGTGAAGGAGCTGAGAACTTTACATCCTGATTCACAAGCAGCAGGCAGAAAGAGACACTGGGCCTAGTGTAGGCTTTTGAAACCTCAAAACTACACCTCTTAATCCAGTGGTTCTCAACCTTCCTAATCCTGCAACCTTTTAATACAGTTCCTCATATTGAGGTGACTCCCAAGTTCTTATATATAACTTTAAAAATACCAAACTGGGGACCTGGGAGATCACCCAGTAGGTAAAATGCCAGCTGTGCAAGCACGAGGACCTGAGCTCATATCCTTAGAACCCCACACAAGACCAGGCACAGCAGGGTACAGCTATGATTTTAGCTCTGGGGGAACATGCCAACTCAGGAGAGAGACAGAGAGAGAGAGAGAGAGAGAGAGAGAGAGAGAGAGAGAGAGAGAGAGTCAGAGAGAGAGAGAGACAGAGAGAGAGAGAGAGACAGAGAGAGAGAGAGAGAGAGAGAGAGAGAGAGAGAGAGAGAGAGCCCAGCCAGCTTAGCCAAATTGACGAGCTCTATGTTCAGTGAGAGACCCTGTCTCAAAATATATATGGGGGAAAATGATGATTGAGAAAGATACCTCTGCCCAACATATTCTCTCTCTCTCTCTCTCTCTCTCTCTCTCTCTCTCTCACACACACACACACACACACACACACACACACACACACACACACACAGGACTGTTTACAGAGTTTCTATGAAGATCTGTCTTGGAATAGTAAGTAAAATGGCCACCACAAAAGAATTTTATAGCCAAACAAAACTGGATAACATTGTATACAATATCTTTCTCTTGGTGACTTACATTGTGCATTTTATTCTCAGTGTTTAGCAGTATTATATTAGCTTCACAGAAAAGGAAAATGGCTTATAGAATAGGTAAATAACTGCCTGAGGTCATTCTAGACACATGACTAATGCACTACATTATTTTATCCCTGAGTACAGGTCACAGCCCACACTCTTGAGTGAGGATTTCTGACCTCTTTAAAGACTACAATTTCATTAAATTTATGTAGAAGAATTATGTTAGCTTTCAACTAGTCTGCAATACTATTAAATTTCCTGGGGACATTCATTATGGGGGGTCTAGTAAAAGAGCCTTTTTTTCCTTGGGACTTTCGTTTAACACAGAGCTTTTACAAGAGCACTCATTAGAAAGGTGACGAGTTCTGAAGACTTCAGGTATCAGCTAGTGTTGTATACAGGTGTGCATGGTAAATACTCCAAAAAGATGACATAAGCAAATAGGGATGTGGGGCTGTGTAAGCAGAAGTCTAGAGGGAGCTGGCCCAGCAGTGGTACATTAGACTAGGAAAATCCCCACATAGGCAGGCTTCTTTGGAACTCTCACCACCATGGAGTATACCTTTACCTGCAACCTGAAGGTACTTGTACCACCTTGACGTAATATGTCTATCTTTCAAACAAAAGAAACAGAACACAAAAAATAAGATGTTTACTAGGTGAGCTTGTCTAGCCTTCCTTCTTTAAAATGAGAACATTCTGGAGGGTTCATCATGGTACCCTGTCTTTTTCACTGATTGCAACTATGGCATATGAACAGATTTTTGTGGTTTAAAAACAGTTTTTGTGACTGTGAAAAGACTGATGAATCAAGCAGCCTGGAACTGAGGGCTTCCCCAGCAATGTGCTAGTGAGATTATGCACTTTAAGAGCGATCTCCCAGCCTTTGAATAACAACCAACTATAACCTTGTGAGGCCATCTGAGCCCAAATCACCTAGGAAGCCACTCTACACTGCCAAGCCACAGAAATTGTGGGGAAATATTTGGTGTTTTATGTTACTGTATTTCGACAGACATTGCTACATGGCAGTATATGAGAAACAGAGACATTGATGTATCTGAAACATTGGTGGCCTGAGATTAAGGCAGTGATTCTGGATACAAGGGGAGGACAGGCATCATAGAGATTAAGCACTCAGAAGTTAGAGAAATTGAAAATGACCTTGGGAAACACAGTTATTTTACAGGTTCTAATCTGTGTCTAATGAAAAATGATTCCTTTAATCAAACTTGCAACTAAAAACATTAGATGTAGGGAATAATAATAATAATATATATATATATAAATTGCCCATTGGTTAGACTGAGATGTATCTAGAAATAGAGCATTGGCCTTTGGGCTGGGGCAGACACAGAGTTGGTCTGCTCCTGTCCTGTGGAGATACTGAATCCTGAGTCATCCTAGAGGAGCCACTGCACTCCCAGCAGCTGGTAAGAACTCCATCTCACTCCCTAAGCCCCAGAGATACATCTGGGAGCCAGGGACATTCAGGACACAGCAGCTACCCAAACCCCGCCCCTCCAGAATTCCACTTCCCTTCCGCCCCTGCCTGGTCCTTTGGGCTGGGGCAGACACAGAGTTGGTCTGCTCCTGTTCTGTGGAGATACTGAATCCTGAGTCATCCTAGAGGAGCCACTACACACAGAGCAGCAGACACCAAGGTGGTTTGCACTTGGGATACATCGTATCCTGAGCCATGGAAACTGGACAACTCTCTACTCAATGATGACTTGGTCAAGGAAGAAATAAAGAAAGAAATTAAAGACTTTTTAGAATTCAATGAAAATGAGGACACATCATACCAAAACTTGTGGGACTCCATGAAGGCAGTGCTAAGAGGAAAACTCATAGCTCTAAGTGCCTACAAAAAGAAACTGGAAAGAGCACACACTAACAAGTTGACTGCACAACTAAAAGCTCTAGAACAAAAAGAAGCAAATACACCCAGGAAGAGTAGAAGGCAGGAAATAATCAAAGTCAGGGCTGAAATCAACCAAATAGAAACAGAAAGAACAATACAAAATATCAATAAAACCAGGAGCTGGTTCTTTGAGAAAATCAACAAGATAGACAAACCCTTAGCCAGATTAACCAAAGGGCACAGAGACAGTATCCAAATTAATAAAATCAGAACTGAAAAGGGAGACATAGCAACAGAAACTGAAGAAATTCAAAAAATCATCAGATCCTACTACAAAGGCCTATACTCAAGAAAATTGGAAAACCTGGATGAAATGGACAACTTCCTAGACAGATACCAGGTACCAAAGTTAAACCAGTAGCAGATAAACCATCTAAATAGTCCCATAACCCCTAAGGAAATAGCAGCAGTCATTAAAAGTCTCCCCACTAAAAAAAGCCCAGGACCAGATGGTTTTAGTGCTGAATTCTATCAGACCTTCAAGGAAGACCTAATACCAATTCTCTTCAAACTATTCCATAAAATAGACACAGAAGGAACACTACCCAATTCGTTCTATGAAGCTACAGTTACACTCATACCCAAACCCCACAAAGACCCGACAAAGAAAGAGAACTTCAGACCAATCTCCCTTATGAACATCGATGCAAAAATACTCAATAAAATTCTAGCAAACCGAATCCAAGACCACATCAAAACAATCATCCATCATGATCAAGTAGGTTTTATCCCAGGAATGCAGGGATGGTTCAATATTCGGAAATCCATCAATGTAATCCACTATATAAACAAACTCAAAGAAAAAAACCACATGATCATCTCACTAGATGCTGAGAAAGCATTTGACAAAATTCAACATCCCTTCATGATAAAAGTCTTGGAAAGATCAGGAATTCAAGGCCCCTACCTAAACATAGTAAAAGCAATTTACAGCAAACCAGTAGCCAACATCAAGCTAAATGGAGAGAAACATGAACCAATCCCACTAAGATCAGGGACTAGACAAGGCTGCCCACTCTCCCCCTACCTATTCAATATAGTCCTGGAAGTCCTAGCCAGAGCAATTAGACAACAAAAAGAAATCAAAGGGATACAAATAGGAAAGGAAGAAGTCAAAATATCACTATTTGCAGATGATATGATAGTATACTTAAGTGACCCCCAAATTTCCACCAGAGAACTCCTAAACCTGATAAACAACTTCAGCAGAGTGGCTGATTATAAAATCAACTCAAGCAAATCAGTAGCATCCCTCTACATGAAAGATAAACAGACTGAAAAAGAAATTAGGGAAATGACACCCTTCACAATAGTCGCAAATAATATAAAATACCTTGGTGAGAATCTAACCAAGCAAGTGAAAGACCTGTATGACAAGAACTTCAAGTCCTTGAAGAAAGAAATCAAAGAAGATCTCAGAAGATGGAAAGATCTCCCATGCTCATGGATTGGCAGGATTAATATAATAAAAATGGCCATCTTGCTAAAAGCAATCTACAGATTCAATGCAATTCCCATTAAAATCCCAACTCAATTCTTCACAGAGTTAGAAAAGGAAATTCTCAAATTCATATGGAATAACAAAAAACCCAGGATAGCAAAAACTATTCTCAACAATAAAAGAACTTCTGGAGGAATCACTGTCCCTGACCTCAAGCTGTACTTCAGAGCAACAGTGATAAAAACTACCTGGTATTGGTACAGAGACAGGCAGGAAGATCAATGGAATAGAATTGAAGACCCAGAAATGAACTCACACTCCTATGGTCACTTGATCTTTGACAAAGGAGCTAAAACTGTCCAGTGGAAAAAGGACAGCATTTTCAACAAATGGTGCTGGTTCAACTGGAGGACAACATGTAGAAGAATGAAAATTGATCCATTCTCATCTCCTTGTACAAAACTCAAGTCTAAGTGGATAAAGGACCTCCACATAAAACCAGACACACTGAAACTAATAGAAGAGAAGGTGGGGAAGAGCCTCGAATACTTGGGCACAGGGGAAAAGTTCCTGAACAGAACACCAATGGCATATGCTCTAAGATCAAGAATTGACAAATGGGACTTCATAAAATT